ATACGGAATTTCAAAAAACGTATACAAAACTTATTTATAATAATGAAAAAACGTATGCAAATTTTTTATAGGGCATGAAAAGGTCCTAAAACAGAATGAATAAATTAATCTCAACTGGTATTGAATACTGTAAATCTCTCTTATTCAAGTTTATTATTGTTTTGCAGACAAATAGTTGTCTAGGCTAATCTGCTACTAATAGTGTAACATGATTATGTAAATAACTGGTATCTTTATCAATATCTAAAATCATTTGTAATACTATTATATAATCATTCATAGAATATAAATTTTTTCTTGAAATCTAACTAATCGTACTCCCTTCATTGAATGTTCTTCTTTTCTTTCAGCAATTGCATCATCATAATAATGTATCATAAGCAGTTCAATTTGATCAAAAGTATCAATAGCTAATTGTTCATTGGTAAACTATTACTTTTTACGATTAATATATGTAATATTAAATATTCCATGTTATTCATGAATTAATCAGAAATAGATATTGCTTGTATCAATATTTACTAGATTATGAACTGACAAATTATTAAAAATAATAGGTATTAGTGCATAATCTAAAACTTGTTTACAAATACAAATAGCCATATGTTTAGCATTAGATAAAATTATAGTGTTTGGTCTTCTTTTTTCATGTATATTATGATAATCATCTAAATTATAAATATACAAATTATTATTCTAATTGTAATTAAATTTTAATTACAGTTTTAGTAAAAAGAATGGCGAAAATATATTTTGATAGTATATACAAACTTTATTTTAATGTATATTTTTTTTATTATTTATAAGAACAATACTAATAACAACTTTTATATTATTAATTAATATTTAGTGTGTCCTCCTTTTGCATTGATATATGCTTTAACCTGACTTGATATATTCTTGATATATTGAAGTAATATAGCATCATTAAGATCATCCTATTTCTGCTGAATTGTATTAAGGAATACATCGCAAATAATATTTTTTTTGCTACTAAATACTTGATCTTTTTTTCTACCTTTTTCTTTAATACAGCCATACATTTTCAATAGAATTCAAATCTAGGCTATATGAGATCAAGAAAGAACTCGTCCTAGAAGATGTTTTTTCAAGTCCTCCTGAACATTATGTA